TCTTCCCTGCCACCTCCATTCCTCCTTCTTTCTTCTTCCCCCTTTGCAGAACTTCATTATCTTTGTTTTCTCGACGTTTACCTCCAACCCCTTCGCTTTAAAATATCTTTCCAGGAATCTCATCATCTCCTTCATCTCCACCGCCTTTCTAGCCACGACCACCAAATCGTCCGCGTACGCCAAGGCGTGCACCTTTGTTCCTCCTATCACCACCCCACCATTTGCCCCTTCGCAAGTCTCTTTTCCAAGTCCGCCGTATATATGGCACCCCTGTCTCAATCCCTTTGTCGTCCAGAATACCTCACTTAACTCTTCCCCCACTTTAACCTTGGTCATCGCCTCCCTGTACATCTCCTTCGCCCTCCCTATCAGTTGTTCTGTTATACCACTCCTCCTCATTTCCTCCCACAACTTCTCTCTATTCACGTTATCGAATGCAGCCTTCAGGTCAATAAACAATCCATACAGCTTTCACCCCTTCTTGTTCAACTCCCTATCTACCAGGTGTTTCAGAATGTATATATTGTCAATTGCCTCTTCCCTTCCTAAATCCCGCCTGCCCATCTGGCAACAATTCTCCCCTCTCCATTTCCTCTTCCAACCTCCCCTCTCCATTTCCTCTTCCAACCTCCCCAGGAGTATCTTTGCATACATTTTGAAAGTTGTGTCCAACAGGGTGATCCCTTTATAATTGCTCACCATGCTTTTATTCCCCTTTTTATACAGTGTGCATATTATCCCCATCCTCCACCTGTCCGGAAACCTCTCCCCCAACTATACGTCGTTTATTACCTTCCATAGCTTCTGGCGCCCTTCCCCTCTTCAGTCCCCTCAACACTGCCTCCATTTCTTCCAGTTTTATCTCTTCTCCTCTTTGCACCCCTCGCTCTCCCTCTCCCAGTCTTCTCTCTTCCACCCCTCCCAACAATCCCATGAAGTAGGTTCTCCATTCAGTAATTTGTATATTTTTGCTGACTTCCTCTCTTCCCTTCTTCATCCTCTTTAAGTATCTCCATACCTCATTCCTCTTTCAACTCCTTAATCTTCTCAGCCTTCCTTTCCTTCAGCTCCCTCTTCTCTTTCTTGCATTCTTCTTTATATTTTCTCCTGACCTCTATATATCTATCTATCTCTACCTCCCCTCTCTGCCACTGTCTCAATTTCCTTCTGGCTTCTCTCTTGGCCTCTCTGCATTCCCTATCCCACCATTCGTTTCTTCCCAGTCTAATCCCCTGCCACCCACTCTCTTTCTTCAACATCGCCTCCCTAACCACCTCTATTAGTTCATTCAACCCGTCGGCCTCCTCCACCCTCTGACCCCAGCTTGCCAACTTTCCCCTATAATGTTCTATCCCCTCTTTCGACCAATCTACCCTAATGTATTTTCCACCATGTTCCCTTATCTTTCTGTTCCTTCTTCCCCTCGATCCCTTTATACACACTTCTATAGGCTGGTGATCCGACACTACCAACGCCCCAACCCTAAATGTTTCTATCCTCTCCCAGATTCCTTGATCCACTACCACATAATCTATCACGGACCCCCCCCCCCTTGCACCCGTATAGGTATATTGCCCTTCATCACCTTCCTCCATATTCCCATTCAGTATCTCCCATCCCCTCTCCTCTACCCACTTCAGCATCACCCTTCCTTGTCCATTCAGAATCTTATCGTTGGACCGTCCCAACAAAAACCCAACCCCTCGCTCTTCTCTGGCTTCCCCCCCCCCCCCCCGGCTAGTTTTTTGATAGATATTTGTATAGCATCCTCAGCGTTACTGGGTCTCCTCCCCACCTAGAAAAAGACCGCATTCTTAGTGAGTTTAGGATACCAGTCAAGATTATATAACTGCTACGAGCAACATTAATAAATACATAAGCCAGCATGCGCATATAGGGGCAGCTAACAAACACAATATCATTTCAATACTATCCGAGGACTAAAACAATGAGATGATTTTACACCACCGTTATCTAATATGACACTGTAACATGTTACACCAAAAAATGAAAATAGGAAGATCGAATTAACTCATAAACAAATCGGTACAGTTGGTGGCCTATACGGACGAGATAATTCGTGTAAAAATGGCAAATGGAAAAAAATTAATTTTTTAGACCTGTTTCAGCGATTTTTCATAAACCGCTTATAATGATTTTATCGCCTATATCCGCTACTTTAAGGACGCACTATATAGGGAATGAGATATAACCAGAAACTTCACAGCTCCTGCAAGGGGCTAATGCTCTCAGAGTACATCAAGATTCAGAGCTTGTGATGGACAGGAGATGTGTTTAGAATGAAGGAGGGAAGGATACCGAAGCAACATTTTGACAGCAGAGTGCGAGAGATCTAGGGGAAAGCCGAAAAGAGTATAAGACGGACAGTGACGCAGAGAATATGCTTGGGTGTCGAAACTGGAGATGGAAGGCTATAGACTGAGATATTTGGCATAAATGACGGAGACATTTAAGAAGAATAAGAATAACCATATAAAGTTTCAAATGAAAAGAGGTTGATGGGTACGCCCATCGTTTTCTACAAAAACCGCAGCCTCGGATATAACGACCTGGTAGTTGATATAATATATTACCTGAATGTCGTGGAGCTCCTGGATTTCTAATGATGCTGGTTCTTGCAGGCGGTGCGGTTGATCCATATTGTAGTATAGGATTGCGTATTGAAAAATTCGTAGTTTTCGACGGAATGCATTTGAAGAACACGCAGCTTAAATATGAAAATCTTTTTGTTTCAATTTTAGTCTATGACGGTAAAACAAACGCAACATGTACTATTAACTTTAAGACGATTAATACAAACTAATTTTTGTAGTCGTGCCTGAAGAGGAATGTTAAGCATTCGAAACAATTTGTAGCACCGAAAGCGGAAATAAATAAATTCTTAATCATCGTTTAAACCAACTTACAGTTTTTCATTAATATTTAATTACTTTAACGATGAATATAGAATTAATACTCTCAAATGTGTATTGAAGGTCTGCGTTCCTGTGTATTGCCTCTCTGGTTTCTTGGGTAGTGAGGGTTGTGCCTCCACGCGGCAGGGATGGTAACTTCTCTCTTAGGAGAGAAGGGCAAGCGAGCCAAGTATGAAAGTTTTGTTACATAAGATATGTTACACAGTCAATGTTATCAATGCTTCTAACTGTAACATTTCTTATTTAATAGTGAAAAAAACTATTTTACTTGTTTATTAGAATAATCATTGTTGCATGACTTATGAGTACCTAATTTAAATTTAAAAATTAAACTTTACTAATATGTCGATTTACCGATTGCAGAAACTATCCACAGCTTGTAGAAGATTAAATACTACTGGAGAACAATTCTGCAGGCAAAATAAAAGCCATTGGTAATAGAATACTATACCGGGTGTCCCTCAAAAGTGGCTCACCCCCATATTTTTCTTTATTATTGGTGATATAAGAAAACCATTTGGAATGCATAGTTAGGTCGCTAAAACGGATTATTACGACATGAAATCATTCTTTTTGTACTTCCGGTTATACCGGATGGGAGTACTAAGTTCGCTATTTTTTTAAATCGCTTATAATTTTTGAAAAAAAAAATTATTTTCGTTATTTTTTAACGTTTTCGTATCTTCGGAAAATGTATTACAACTTTTGACGCATAGTAGCTAGGTTAATAGTACAAACTACGTTATGTCCCTCTTGATTTGCTATTCCTCGAGCAGTGATCACTGCTATGCTTTAGTTAGTGGTTCTTTTTTAATAATGGTGTAAATTAACAGTTGTATTAAATTAGTTTTAAAAGAAANTGGTTGATTAAAAATAGGTTTAAGTCCGTATTCTAACATAATGGCTAACAACTCCTCATTAATTATTGATTTTTCATTGATACATATATTGTAATCCCCCATTATAAATATATTTTTTAAATTTTGTTTTGCTATTACGAAGTGTAAAATTTCTTCAATTTTTCCCAAAAATTCTTTATAATCTCCATCTGGTGAGTGATACACGACTAAAAAAATGGAATTCAGTACTGGGATTTTAACTGCGCAAAGTTCAATGTTTTTTTCTTTAATTGGTCTAAATCAATTGATTCAGAAGAGTATTCTTCATCTATCAATAGTAAAACTCCTCCTCTTGAAAAAACTTTCCTACAGTTGCAAGATCCAACATAATAACCTGGAAAACTTAAAATTTTTATCTCTTCTTTCGTCATCCAGTGCTCAGTGATCGCTATTATATTTATTCCTGTTTTGTGGTAAGTATGTATTGTAGTTGGTTTATTTTGTTTTTTAAGCCCTGTATATTAATGTTTACTATCTCTATTTGTTTTTTGAATTTATTTTTGTTTATGTTTAAGTTTGTATAATAATCACTTGATTGATTTAGTTTGTGTTCTATTTCACAGGTTTTCTGTTGTAAATCTTATCTAAAAAACGGTTCACTCTGACACCTGATGGCCATAAATCTAGTTGTTTAGTGGTTTCCAAGTACTGATTTGGTAGTGATTTGGTCGAGATGGTCGTTCGCATCTTACGTTGCTAATACTTTTACTTTGCAGGTAATTTTTTACTTCTTCTTCGGTTGTGTTGGGTTGTAAACCGCAAACATGTAAGTGCACATATTGTTCTACACCCTTTAGTGAAGTATTTGTTGCAGTTCCTCTTATTGTATGTAACGACGACTTACGTTTTTTATATGATACAAACGTAAAGTCGGTTTCTATTCCTGACTTGATTTGTTTTTCTTCTCCATCATTTTTTTAAATTTCAGCAGTTACAAAATAAAAAAAGTAATAATACCGCAGGGATAAAATTAGGTACTTCTTGTTTTTATTTCAGTCAATTTTAAAGCTTTACAGAAAAGTTTTACTTTTCTTAAGTGGTAGGATGTACAGATTAATTGAAGCCATATTCAACCGGAGTTAAAGTATACATATATTAATATGATAAAGTATATAATGTATAATTAAAACTATGTTTTTGTTAATGAAAACTTAGAGCTGCAACATAAATTATTAAATAAACTAAAACTAGTAAAAAGAATCTTGTCTATTTAAATATATATAATACATATCGACATTACAATCAACTTGAACCAACAAGGTGACATAAGTGATGCAAGCAGCAATAATCTAAAACAGAGTATCAATTTATAATCAATTTAATCTTAAAAATTGGTCTGATTATTTAGTAAATAAATATACTGACCTTTGTCATTAAACTTAAATCAACATTAAACATATTTTTAGCAGTTAGTTCAACATCCAAATGAGCCAATGCCAATGTAAATGCTTTTAACTAAAAAAGTAAATAATTAATGAAGTTTAAAATCAACTTTTTTATTTGATTACTTCTCGTCGTATTTTTTTATCATTTACGTCCACTGTTAATTGAAATACAATCTTCCTCGTTTGTATTAACTAAAGAACTATGTAAACATAAATAATTTCACATTTTTTCCAATTTACTTACCGTTTGTTTACAATATTCGTGTACAGATAAACAATAAAATACTCCAAATTCGGTTAGAATGATAACAACAATAGATTCAATAATGAAAGGACTAAATGTGCGATTTATAATCGGTATGAAAGTAACGTACATTTCAAAAATAATTTGAATCATATGCGCCGTTATATTAACAACGATTAAAGCAGAAATTGATTCATTATATTCCATCAAATCATCGTGAATTTCTAAATAAAGCCGAAGTAACCTTTTCATGTTTAAAAATAAGTTGGGTAAAGTTTCTTCAAGACGACATTTCACTAAATAATCGTTAATCGCTGAGATTAATCCTCCGTACAAAGCAATTCCAGTACAACATTGCATAAAAATAATTACTGGAGCTATGTATATATTAATATAAGTAATGCTGATAAATACTATTTCATAAACGTGATTATATATTTCGTATTGTGTTTTAATTGTGATCATACCCGCAATGATTATCCCCATGACGTATATCAAAATAAATGCTCGAATCTTCCTTTTTATCGAAAAGAAAAATAAATCGACTTCAACCGTATATCTGATCAATTTTCTTCTATTACTTTCGATTTTATTTAATAACTTGACGTATTTTCTTCGTAAAAATATATTAGTTTCAATGATAACATAAGCGCACTGTGTGATATATGATAATCCATACACTGCCATTCCAACGTATGCAAAATCGGAGACATGTGTAATCGCTTTCAAAAACCCAAAATAATATGTTAATATCGTGATGAATAGTAAAATATGAATAGGCGAAAAAATTACGTTGTAAATAATTGTGGAACTTTTAAATTGTTTCGAGTTGTTCTCTTCGAAATAATAAGGCGCAAAACCTAAATATCGTGGGAGATAATAAATTGAAGCTATCGCTGAAAATGTTTCGGTTACTATTCGTTTTGGTAGCATTTTGGGAGTAAGATAAAGGTTTCACGAAAATTTTAATTTATGGAGTGGTTTAATACATTAAATAGGTGTTACACGAAAAATTAAAAATTTAGGTGTAATGAAACGGTGTTAATAGATTTAAAATAGGATAGTGTGGCAATAAATGAAATTGAATGAAACACACGTGATCAAAATAATACGATATACAGTGTAATCCAAAAAGTCAGCAACACTTCTTTTAAGTTCTTTTAATTTAAATTGCATCCACGTTTCTTAAATATGTATTTATATGTATGTTAAATTACTTGTTAAGGTGGTTTTTGAGAATAAGTCGGAAGCAGGAATGGTTTTAAGATGAGCTAAGAAGTTGCGAGACTCTGTCAATTTCAAAAATTTATATTAATGGTGACCGAACGCCACGTCAACAGGAGTTTGAGCGAAAAATGCTCACCCAATTAAGGACTCGTATTGAGAAAGGTGAAAAAGACTTGGGTTTACAATTCTTTAATGGATATCGTCGAATTGCCAAAAATTAAGCACTAAAATTAACGACTTTTTTACATCAGCTGATACTTCGGATTTCTTCGGACGCTTAGTAAGACATGGCTCAAAGAAACAGTTCTTGATCGCGAGCTTTTCCAGAATAAATACGACGGAGCACCAGCAATGCTTGGATGTAGGTCTGGCTTTCAATCAAAAATTAAACAGCTTGCACCACAAGCAAGGGAGTACATTGTATGATTCACCGATATACTCTTGCCAGTAAGACACTCCCCAAGCATTTGCGAGAAGTCCTCAATTCTTTGGTGACAATTGTCAATTACATAATGTAGTGCTCTGACTCACATCATGAAGTTCTTTTTTACACTGCTGTGCGTTGGTTGTCAAAAAGGAAATGTTGTTGGCCGCGTATATGAATTGGAAAAAGAAATGAAAGAGTTTTTAGAATTAAAAGACAAACATGATCTTGTGATTCATTTTAATAACAAGAATTGGATCCAAAGGGTAGTGTATTTATCCGATATTTTAGATCAGCTAAACAAGCTAAATTTGAAATTACAAGGAAAGGAAACGACTATTATTGAAATCAAAGATAATATTCAGGCATTCGTGTTAAAGCTGCAAAATTGATGCTTTAAATTGAATATTGGAAATATCGCCATGTTTGAACACCTTTGGACCAAGGTTGAGGAATCGGAAGGGGTAATGGTAATTGTTAATGTAAGAGACGATATTAATAATCACCTTCAAGCACTTGAGTGTGAAATCCAATGTTAGTTTCCAGAGATCTCTGAGCAAGAAGCTGCATTTATGCGAAACCCTTTTCATGCTTTCATCAATATAACCGACATTCATATAACACTTATATACATATATACAGGGTGATTCACATAAGAACCGACACAGAGCAGGGACATGTAAAGGACAATAAACTAAGATGATTTAACGCAACTTATCTCTATACTAAGTTGTACCCCTCAGGAGTTGTAGATAGGTCTTCAAAGTTGGGTCTTAAATTTTTAAAACATTCAATATCTTCGTAATATTCTAACATTTTGTGATAGAGCTAAAAAATACGAATCAAATGATACCTAATCTATTGATATAACTAATATTAATTATAATTAATACAACTAATTTAGACCAAGTAAAACAGGTGGATGCGCCGGATGCAATATCGATCTTTCACATTTATAAAGTGTTGTAGTGTGATTTAATCAAAAGGAAGAATTTTGTCGTTTCCGCTTTAACTATCTTATCAAATTGTCTCAATCTTAGTCGTTGAGTTTCTCTATACTCTAACCTATTACACAATTTTATTGTTGTAAATGTTGTTCCATTTTCTCTCGGTCCTTGTTTCCGCGTCTTGTGACAGAGTATTGCATACCGCTGTGAATATCGTTCATTTTATTCTTATTGAATAGATATATTCGGGAATAAACAGATTTTATTGACACTAATCTCGAATTGATGACATTTTGCATCCTATTTCAACACTACTATTAAAGAAAGCCAAAAATGTGGAATACTAAATTCCCTAAGCAAAGGTGCTTTTAGGTAAAATTGCTAAGATCTTGTGATTCCGTCATTAGGTGTTTACTGAATGTGTTTACAAAAAATATTAAATCAGTTTGAAGTTATGTATTTGATTCGCATAATTTATTAACTTACTTATTAACTAACATAATTTGTTAACTATTGAAACTTTCAAAAGGTTTGTATGAGGAGCGTTTATATGTATAGAGAACGATTCATGCAGATCATAAAAAAGTCATAAACACCGTAGTTTGAACATCGACTTCTACACTGTTGTTGTTAAGTAATAGACGTCACATCCAGTCCTGTCTTCAAAGGTACTACTTATATCCATACTGTCTACAGGCTCTTCAACGGCTGTAGTTCTAAGATGACTTATTATGTACAACAATATATTTAAATATGATGGAATTCCCGCTCATGTAGCATTACGAGTACAGGAAGTTTTTAATAGATGTTTCTGATGAATGGATTAGGTAAGTAATAGCAGTAATAGTGATTTCTTCAAGTTCATCATATAGTCAAGATGGTTATGATGAAGAAATATTAAAAGTTATTGATTGAATTCGGTGCTACAAATGTTTCGATTTATCATAAAGCCATCTTGAGGCACGACTGTAAATAACAAATAATGAATAATTGGCTGGATATATAAAAATAAAATTAAATTAAATAATTACCGTCGTTAAATTAGAGCTAGCATTTCGCAGGCACAAGTTTCAAATGGAGCTGATATAAATTTCATTCTTTTTGTTTCAGCAAGCTTTCAAAGAATAAGAAAAGGACAAAAACAACTTATGTGGTTAAAATTGCAAAAAGTAAATAAAAGTAAAGGAGCTGTTAACAAATTAGAAGCCGAAAAATATATTAATTAAATTTTGATTCGGAAAAAATTTGATTTGTAAAAATGTTTTTTTGGAAAAAATGCTTTTTAGAAAAAATGGGGGACAATGCGTTTCAGAACAAGTGTAGAAATTTCAAACTTAACAAAAATTATTAAGCAAAAAATTAAAGTGTTAATGAACGAGAAAACTAAAATTAATATAGAAATTTTTATTTTACCGAGATTCAAATTTTTCAATCATATATATAAAACACCTCTTCTCAGTAGTAAATTGTTTTATTTTTATTCAATTAAAACATTATTTCCTCACTAACTGCAAAAATTCATCAAATTCCATCGATAATTTTGCAGTTAGTGACACGTGCTATCGTTAGTTAATAGAATTTACAATGTAAGATTGCGCTACGATGATACTAATTCTTGATAATGAGCATTAAAAGCTCGAAACGTCGAGGAAATAATGTTTTAATTGAATAAAAATAAAACAATTTACTACTGAGAAGAGGTGTTTTATATATGTATATGATTCTAAAATTAATAGTTTTAAATGAAAAAAATATAAACTTAAAGGGATGAATTCAACATGGGCATGTTACCTAACTTTAAAAATTAAACGTGAAATTTGAAGTAATGAAAAATAAAATTAAATTAAAAAATGAATTCTCTCTCTTTACAACATGCCAGCGAAAAACAAAAACAAAGAAAATTCTAAAAACTGAAAAAGGAATTTAGATTAATTTAAATATATAAAAACGAAATAATTAATTACCCAAGAACGTCCATTCTTCAAGACGACATGCTAAAATAAAAAGGAAAAGGAAGGAAAAGGTTAAGGTTAAAGGTAATAATATAAGTAATATACAGGGTGTTCCGCTGACTCGGGGCATAAAATTAACCTCATATACTAGAGCAAAAATGATGACGATTCGTGAAAAAAAAATTATTATAAAAGTCTTCAAATGGCCAAGATATGGGCTATCAAAGTTCAGAAATTTTAACACATTTTTCTAAATATTTTCAATACCATTTATGGTAGAGCGTTGAAATTTGGTACAGGGTTAAACAAATATGAAGTAAAATCGTGAAGGGGTTAAAGCGCACTCTGCGGAGAACATTGATCTCAGTTCGAAGTTGATCAAATGAATCAACAATTCGCAACCTCAGTTGATCAACTGAAGTTATTTCAGCGCAGTAAACTAGCGATTTAACGCGTCCCCATAAATAAAAATCTACAGGTGTAAGATCCGACGATCGGGGGAGTCAACTTATCGGTGCACTTACTTCTCGTCCAATCTACCGTCCCTAAACGTTCCCTCAGAAATTCTTAGACAGCCTGTGTGCTATGCGCAGGAGCACCATCATGCATATACCACATTGCTTGCCTTGTGTTTAAAGGAACGTCATCTAAAAAATCATCTAAGTCCTCTAAATGTCGCCTGTATGTATGTCCATCCAGCCTTGATGGCAAGAAAACGGGTCCAATAATTACATCGCCCACAATGCCAGCCCAATCGTTAAGACAAAATCTTCATTGTGATTTCCAAGTTTTCTTAAATCTTGGATTTTCGTCCGCCCAACTATGTAAATTTCTCAAATTGATGATTTCATGTTTAGAAAAAGTGGATTCATCTGTAAAAAGCACTTTTTCTAAAAACTGATCATCAATTTGGATTTTGTGCTGCATTATTTGGCAATATTGCAGTCGCAGTGAATAATCAGTCAGTCGAACTTCCTGAACTTTGTAACAATGAAATGGATAAAGCTGTTGTTCGTGAAGAACACGCCAGACAGTTGTTTTTGAAGTTAAAAAATACCTCGCTATATCCAAAGTAGTATTTTCTTCTAAGTAGTCTAGAATATCTTCTTCTAGTTTGGGTGTTCGGACTGATCTTACGTTACCCTTTGTTAGTAAATTTCGGCTTAAACGTCTCATTTTCACTTAAACGGGTTTCAATCCTTAAAAATGTTTTTCGATTGGGCGCTCTGCGGTTCGGAAATTTCTCCCGATAATGGTTAGCGGCTGCTACGGCGTTTCCATGACAATCCCCTAATGTCAAAATCATGTCAGTTTGTTCACTAAATGTGTAACTCTCCATTTTGAACACTTAAAATTAATAAAAATGTAACTAACAAAAAACTATTGTTTGTGTTTAAACGACATAAGCAAGTTGACAGCTCAATTTGTTTTTTTTTTTAATTGCCATGGCCAACCTTGACTTTTTCGAAGATTTTTGTTTTTTAGTATTACTATTGAAATCGAAGCTTTCTAAAATAAATTTTCTATTAAAAAGTACAAAAATAAATGTAGGGTTACGAGCGAACAAAAAAGGTCTGAGCTAACAAATTGTAGGGACACCTAATAGCATGATTGAAAATATTTAGAAAAATGTGTTAAAATTTCTGAACTTTGATGGCCCATATCTTGGCCATTTCAAGATTTTTATAATAATTTTTTTTCACGAATCGTCATCATTTTTGCTCTAGTATATAAGGTTAATTTTATGCTCCGAGTCACGGGAACTCAATATTACGTCCCGTTTGGCCAACGTATTACTTCCCACAACTGTATGATACCCGATAGACTCTAGCTCCCCGGGGTTGGTTTGTCTTTAGCTATCGGAAAAGTATTCCGTATTTCGCTGAGTATACCGTATCGTACTAGGATATTGTTCTTCTTCAGGCGCCTTGCAATCCGCTTCGACAAACTTGAAACATAAGGGAGGCAGATAAAACCGGCTGATGCAGTACTTACCATGTATTCCCTATGCTTGCGTTGCATGGTGGCTCGTTGGATATCTCTCAGAGTGTAGCATTCTTCTTCTTTCTTTAAATTCTTTTCGTCGCATATCCTTTCTGGCCGATGAAACAGGGCTTGGATCAATGATGATGGGACGAAGCTTATATAGCTTATGTAGCTCATATAGATATATCATATCTGTTCGTCTGCTTCTTCTAGTTCCATGTCCCCATCCGTCTTACTAGAAACCATCCAGGAAAGGTTACTGTTTTGCAGTTTCCGTTTCTGTGATCAATTTAATCATGATCTGTTGAGAGTTCTACGAACTCATAGAGATACTTTTTTCCATGCTGCCAGATCACAAAGGTGTCATCCACATAACGTAGCCATAGCTTTGGTTCCCACGGACACTTCTTTAAAATTCTCCCTTCAAGCTGAAATATACTTCGGCAAGCCCTCCGTGATGAGTTTATGGCGAAGACCATCAACGGCATCTTTAATTGGTATTCTGGTGAATAGAGATTCCACGTCGAAACTTATCAGAATATCCTAAGGATCTGACTTTAGATTGATTCTGTTTTACCTCTAGGATCTCTATATTGGCAATCTCTTGGGACTCAACGTATTCGTGAATGTTTCGTACACATACTATCCCATCCCGGTCGCAATTATAATAATCGACCGTAATCTCTATCTTAGTTGATTAATAACTGAATAAGAATAAATTCATTCGTGCCTTTTATACTAAATTTTTTATCGTTGTTTTAATGGTGTTATGTTTCGCACACTTGTGTATATAACCATGATTCATGTCCAGCTGTGCCCGTGTCATGTAACAATAGTTCCAAAAATTTTATGATAACATTTTCAGATCACATGTGACTCATTCTTTTAAAATCAAACACAACTACGACAGTTACTTGGACGGCATTACATGAACGACAAAAGTTTGGCTTTAGCAAACTTTTTTTGATCGAATACAAAACTTGATCAACTCTATTGAAAGAAAAGTTCTCACTACAGTGTTCTTTCAACTTGTGTTGATCAACTAATATCGGCCAACTAAATCTGACTCGTGAAAATGCAGAAGTTTTAATGTATGGTCCTGGACTTGTAGATTTGTTAATAAGTCAATAGAAATTGAAAACAATCAGTTTTTATTATTCGAAAGCGCGATTTTCTAAACTACGTTTTTACAGTTCTTGGGCATCTTGGAAATAAACAACCATTTTCAAAAAATCGTAATAAATCGTAGTTTTAATAAATTCTTATGAAATTGTCAGCATTTGAAATACAAAGTATAAGCTTTCCAATGAAAGAAACGGTTTTTCAAAATATCTTTCAGTTTTTGAAATATTAATTTTTAAACGTATGATTTTACATATTGTTGTTGGTAGAGCACGTTATTTGGAAAAAAAGTTTTAGTATAAAAGTTGTCGGAAACTTCACTCTTAATAATATTGCTATTTTACACTTTTGCTCTTAGATGTACAAATATCGAGAAAAATGCGATAAAGTGAAAATAAGATGAAATTGTGGTTTTATTATATTATTGGAAGAGCACGGGGTTTGGAACGTTTTAGAAAAAAAGTTTTAGATTATAATTTGTAGGAAACTAGATTGTTAACAATATTGCTCTTTTACACTTTTGCTCTCAGATGCATAAATATCGAGAAAAATTAGAAAAAGTGAAATTTATATTAAATCGTGGTTTTACATTATGTTATTGGAAGAGAACGGGGTTTGGAACGTTTTAGAAAAAAAGTTTTAGAATATAATTCTTCTATACTTTTCCACCCATTATCAGATCCATAAATACCGGGAAAAAATCGAAAAGGGCATTATTAGATAAAATCGTGGTTTTACATATTTTTGTTGGTCCGAATCCCGTTCGGAACGTTTTAGATAAAATTTAGGAGTAGTAACGGTCGTTACTGTTAGGAACTAAAGTAATTTTTTGGGATACACGACCAACACGACAAGTCTAGATAATTGAAAAGAGGCTTCCTTTTATCTTTACCGAGCTTTCGGAAATTTTATTTTTCCTTCTTCAACCCACATTAAAAATGGTAGCAAGATTGCTGTTGCCTTGTTGGACGAGGCAAGAGGAACCATCTCTCATAAAGTTAATGAGTTTAATATAAGGTTAGGAACTAAGATTCTTAATTTTGAAATTCAAATTACTTGCTATGATCTAAAAAAGGTTGATGAATCTATTGCGGAGCTAAAAAATAAATTGTACAATGTGTTACCCTCTTATATGTGTGGTGAATTTGAGATCAGATTGGCATTTTCTTATTCAAAGATTTTTAATAAAGTAAAATGTATTAATGTAAAAAAGTTTAAAGTTTTAAAAAATAGTAATTTAAAAAATTCTAAAATGTTAATGATAACAAGGGTTGGTTCGTTAATAATACATCTATCCAAATACCTGAAGATGTCAAAGATCTTTTGTCACTGGGACCTAAGTTTGGCTTGTTTCCCGATGCCATTACATTGTCTGTTCCTAAGTTGTTGG